TATAATATATTGGCCTATGTTTTTTATTTTTTATTTGGGTAGGTTAAGATTTATTCCTTTGCATGAAGTACTTTTTCTTGATTCCATTTTGCTTATTTTGTTTAAACTGTTCCATTGGAGCTTTGGTGCATTTCTTTATGAATTTTTAGTATTTTATATTACTTAATATTAAGTTTTAAGTTCGGTTCAGTTAAGTTTTGCCTTTTAATGTTTTGATTTATCCTCTCCTTTTTCTATTGTATATTTTGTAAGACCGCACAACTGATTGTGAGTGCTACCGATACAAAGATGAAGTGTCACAAATAAATAAATAGTGTTATGTGATTTATTGTTAAGTATTGACCTTTAGACATGTAATGTCCTCTCTCTTGGGCCCTGAGGTCAGCCAGGTATTTGTTAGTGACCAAACCAGCTTTTATAATACAGTACAATATTATTAAACACAGAAATGAAAAATATATAGCAGATTTTTCAATTATTATTTTAATAAGATGGCAATTTGTATGCCTACATTTTTCTTATGATGGTCAGAGCAATCTCACCAAAACGTTAATATAATCAACCAGTGATTTTACCTCAAAAACCATATTGTTACACCTCGTGTAGGCCTACCCCTGGGCGTTGATCGGTGGGGAACAGGGGAAAACGTCCCCCCACTTTCAAAGTTAGGGGACACCATCAACTAAACCCCCTCCCCTTTTCACCAATCACCATTTTAAAAAAGCGAGTGGAAGAATCAATGACACAATTTTGTCTTTTTGACTTGAGCTCTGTTCCCAGTGCGGTGCATATTTAATCATCAAAACCGAATAAAAAGTTGTATTTTATACCTTAGTAACCACTCCATCGATTTATGGTTGCAAACAGTTATCAGACGCTCAATTTATTATAAAAATAATGTACACTTTGCTTTGCGTTAAAATTGGAACCTATTAGCCAAACAATTTGCAAACTTGAAAAAGTGCACAATTTCTACTGTAAACGATTTATTTCTTTTGTACGGTATATTAGTAAGACCTGTATATTGTTTAATATTATCTGCATACATACTGTAGATTCATGTTTTTCCTAATTTCAAAAGTAGTTATAATCTCAATATTACAATTTTCTTCCATGTCCTTAACCAGCAAGTTGTCAAACTCACCCCAATTATCACATATTATTCTTTTGGGAGCTCCATGAATACCTATCCAGTGTTTATAAACATGATAACAAAAGTTTTAGGTTCTTTATTATTAACAATACAACCTGTACTGAATCTACTATTCTCATCAATGATATGTAAATACCATAAACTTTTATCTAATTGATGTAGGTCAACAGTTTTCGATTACTTCCTGCAAAACTTCTTATGTTAAAAACATGCATGAACTAGAGAGCACTCTCACCAAGAGTGCATACCTCCATCCACATCATAATTATCCTCTGATGTTATGTTTAGTACAGACAATGAAATAATTAAAAGATAATGATAAAAAAAATAGACATCATGGGATTCAAACCCGAAGCAAAACACATCAAAGAAAGGCAAACACAGTGCTCGAACAAAGGACACAGCGTCGCTCTCAACGAATGAGAGCGACGCTATATATATTTATTGGAAATTTAAGAACAGGATTTTTGATGTATTTAAACGCATTTACTATTTTTTAATAGTATAATCATCTTTTTCCAGTTTAGTTCATTGTGTAGACGTTACAGATTGGAGTACTGAGACAACAACATGTCCACTGATCAAGAAACACAATTTATTTTCTTCTGTAATGGACGAAAGGTGTGTACCATGTTTTAAGTTACGTCTGAGACTACAGACTACGTTATTCTTACTATATTATACAAATTTTTGTATAGTTTCAATATTCTGATGAATAACCAGAAATGTTGGACTGGACATGTTTCGGCCACTGTGTACTCCTAGTAATGAATTAGGCAGTACATCAGGAGCAATAACCTGCTTTTCTGAAGAATGTATTCCTTAACGTGCAGGTAGGGATAGAATATAATTACAAACCATGGAATAGAATAGATGGTTTGGTGGCTACACCTAGTTGCTCTAAAAATAGGCTAAATTATTTGTTTAAACTACAAACAGTGTAGTATAAAATACTTTATAATAATTTTATACAAATGTCTTATTCAGATTTAATTAATATATATAGAAATCATTGAATTTGTTTTTAATGTTTGGTTTACGAACATCAAAATTTGACTCGAAATTCTTTTACTGTAGTAAATAGTTGATTTAGGACTTCTTTGACTCCAGTTTTCTAAAGCTGGGCTTCCACCGCGCCCGACGGTCTATGCAACGCCACGACGCACACGCAAGGGATCGTTTTTAATGACGATAAGTTCAGACTGCCACTAGCAATCAGCAGAAGGTGCGCCGCGCAGTCTAGCTTTCACAGAAAACGTGGTTGGATTCATTGTACGACGGTCGTACGAGTGAATGCCCGAATAAAAGCATCGCCCTTTGTTTATGCTTCCAACTTAAAATTGTTGCGTATTTTCAGATTACTGACAACAGTGTTGATCCAAGCATGATGTTGCTCAGTTATCTGCGACTGAAATGTATCCTAAGTATTATTGAATTTTAGCAATTGTAATAATTATTATGATACAGTATTTTAGTATCTGTACAAATTACCGAATTACATATTTTTATACTCAATTTTTGATCTATTTTTCTATTTTGCAATAATATAATGATTTTTCTTAATGAACTTTTGTTGTCATAATTTGTCTATCTATCTATCTATCTATCTATCTATCTATCTATCTATCTATCTATCTATCTATCTATCTATCTATCTATCTATCTATCTATCTATCTATCTATCTATCTATCTATCTATCTATCTATCTATCTATTTATCTATCTGTATATCTATCTATCTATCTACCTATCTATCTATCTATCTATCTATCTATCTATCTATCTATCTATCTATCTATCTATCTATCTATCTATCTATCTATCTATCTATCTGTCTATCTATCTGTTTGTCGGGTGGGCGGTCTGTCTGTCTGTCTATCTATCTATCTAATAGGATTTATTGATATTCATTTAGGCCATTTAGATAAAATTTTCTTAACAAGAATGAACAATAATAGTGAGGTTGACAGGTTCCAAGCTCGGCTGTGGTGAAGGAGGATGTGGAGCCTGTACTGTCATGGTATCAAGCTACGACAAGGCGACGAAAAAAATTTCGTAAGCAACTAAAATAATGTTATACTCGAATTATACATAGAACACAAGTTCAAAAGTTTGAAGCAAACCCAACATGTCTCACTTCGATTTTCTAAAATTGATTCCTAAAATAGTGAACAATTAGTAACATTCACACTAGATAGAGTGGAATTTGTAAATTACAAAGTACTGTACAAATAGTGTACTTTGTAATTTACAAATTCCACTGATAGAGTGGAATTTGTAAATTACAAAGTATACTACTCGCTTAATGTCAATTAAGAAATAGGCTTATGGTGGTTACTTTTAAATACAACAATGTGAATAAATGCACAAAGTCAGCACATAGAAAATATTGATATAATAGGTTACCTACTATCGCATTAACATTACCTGTAATATATTTTCGTCCTTTTCCAAGTCACATCTCAGTAAACGCGTGCCTGACCCCAATATGCCAGATTCACATGATGGCGGTTACAACAGTAGAGGGCATTGGAAGCTTGAAGACGGGACTACATCCGGTTCAGGTAATCTCCATAATATCTCCAATTAAGGTACACAAGTCACTGATATATATATTCACAGTGGCTGTAGTTGTTTTGATTATTACAGGGGCGAATCCAGAATTTTTCAAACGGGGGGTGGGGGGTGCACAACAGTCTCAAAATAGGTGAGTAGCACGTAACTTTGATTTGCGTTGAAAATTTAAAAATTTAATGGCAAAACAGGGGACATGTGCCCCCGTGCCCCAACTGGATCCGCCCCTAAATTATCGTCGTAGAACTATCACGGTCATATCACTTCAATATTAGACTGGTTGCTATAGACGTTAAGAACATGATAACAAATACGACTAACGTTATTATTAGCTTTCGATATTCCTGTCTACGATTTTTATTGTAATATTGCGAATACCATTTTTTTTTTATTGGTAAACACTATTAAAAGAAGAATTTGATCATTGAATTCGTAGGCCTATGTATCGTATCGTAGGTGGAAATTGCGCCGCAAAAACCTCGCTGAAATGGATACGTGCGCCTTAAAAGATGTCATCTATATTATACTTAACGTCTAGGATTCGGAACCTATCGTTCTGAAAAGCTGTAACAACATAGATCATCAAAGTCTTCATCTCACGAAGTGAACATAATTCCCTATTTCAGCTTAATTGAGGGAGAATTAATTACTTTAATGTCGATATTTACTCTGGATTTTCAGCTGTTTTGTACACGTGGCATTATTTACACAGTCACTTAGATTCCTGTAGTTTGACTATAATAAGGCCATGTAAAAAAATAACTTGTTGATCATCCCCTCCCTATATAATAAAATTACCCAACCAAAGGCCATGTAAAAAAATAAGTTGTTGATCGTCCCCTCCCTACATAAAATAAATCACGAAAATATCGTCTTTCCGCCCAAAATTCAGCTTCGGCTAGCCTCCTGTTTTTTTGTTTTTTGGTTTTTTTTTGTGTAATTATTTTGTCTTTCATTTGTTTGTTCGTACAGGGAGATGTTAGAGTATATAAATTCCACCTGATCAAACGCTACACTGAAAGATCCGTCAAGTTAAAATGAGGCCTTGCTCTCCATAGGGAATTTGAAGACTTTGCATGTACCAAGGGGATGGTTTCATTACAAGTTAAAATAAATAAAAACAAACAAACAAAAAAGAAGAAAAAACACCTCCCTGCCTACCGACCATCAATTTCAACAACTTTGAACTTGCCAATGTGGTTCGCTTACCTCCTCATAATTCATCAATTTTTGACAGCAAGGCAAACCATGACCTCTAGATCTTAGAGTAGGCCCCTATATAAATATATGAAAGTTGCAGCATATTAACATAAAGTGTCTAATCTATGTAGGAACTTTCTATTTCGATCTACAGTATCTTCCATGTGTCACAAATATATAATTTCTAAAAGAAATGTACAGTAATTAGTGATGCCAATAAACTAACACCTTACTTCATTTATCCTACCTAAACATATAACCTACCATCAACGTACACAAATAAATGCATAACGTTCACCACCGCATTTATCCATGAGTTTGTCTAGGAGAAATATGGTAACCTGAACGTTGGGGTCTAGGCCCAGTGATAAATTCCCGTAGAATTTTTGTGTATCCGTCTGTAATTAGGCCAATATTTTAAAGGTCATAAATAATTGTTTTATTTTATCAAAACTAATCGCGATGTTTAACATATCAGAGGGTAATTATTTGTTGTTGTTGTTATTATTATTATTATTATTATTATTATTATTATTGATTATTATTATTGTTGTTGTTGTTGTTGCTGTTGCTGCTGCTGCTGTTGCTGTTGTTATTATATGATTATTATTATTACTCAATAATAAATCACGAATTTGTTTACTATTTAGGTCTACGTGTATCGGAATGCTTTAGATATGAAATTTAGAATACCGATTATACATTATGAGCCCAATTTTACTTATTTTTTTTTTTATCAGGAAAGGATTGCAAAATCGCACGGGTCTCAGTGCGGCTTCTGTACTCCTGGCATCGTTATGTCAATGTATACTCTTCTAAGAAACAACCACCAGCCAACTATGTCAGACGTTGAGGACACTTTTCAGGGAAATCTTTGTAGATGTACTGGATATCGACCGATCCTAGAAGGATTCCGAACTTTCACAAAGGTAGAGTAGGCCTATCAATATATTTTATGTTAAAGAACTTCTTCATTGGTTTAGAATTATACACTACAATGCGTTGGCAGTTGTATAAAGTGCTACTCAAGCTTAAGTATTCAACGACCAGGTCCGCATCAGAGTATTAATAGATCTCAATTCACAGTATACACTGTCTCTTATACACATCTAGATGTGTATAAGAGACAGCTTGGATATCGACCGATCCTAGAAGGATTTCGAACTTTCACAAAAGTAGAGTATCAAAATTGTTAATATGAAACTTTTGTATTGATGTTTTAGTGGCTTAAACCAAGATTTCACTTTCAACATTTGAATTTCCAAAAACTTAACGATTAATAAAAACCTGTATTTGTTTATTCTGTACTATATATATAAGAAATATAAGGCAGTAATTGCCTTGCCCTGGCCGTCGACGTTTACGGCCAAGGCAAGGCAGTAATTGTATCTCATTAATTTATACGTGTTTAAATTGAACTCGCATAAATAGTTATGTAGTATATTTACTATTAATGTCTGGCATTAAAACAATCAAAACAGTTAGCTAACAACGACCTGTTTTGCACACTTGGATATCGACCGATCCTAGAAGGATTCCGAACTTTCACAAAAGTAGAGTATCAAAATTGTTAATATTAAACTTTTGTATTGATGTTTTAGTGGCTTAAACCAAGATTCCATTTTCAACATTTGAATTTCCAAAAACTTAACGATTAATAAAAACCTGTATTTGTTTATTCTGTACTATATATATAAGAAATATAAGGCAGTAATTGCCTTGCCCTGGCCGTCGACGTTTACGGCCAAGGCAAGGCAGTAATTGTATCTCATTAATTTATACGTGTTTAAATTAAACTAGCATAAATAGTTATGTAGTATAGTTACTGTTAATTATTTCTAAAAAATCAAAACATTTCGCTAACATCGACTTGTTTTGCACATTTAGACGATTTCATTTATATTAATATACAGTAGAACCCCTCCTTTGGGACACCCCTATTAAAGGGGACACTTTTCCGTGAAACGAGGAGAATATATCATTTAACAATACGGCCAACCCCTACGGGAACAGGGACACTCTCTGAGTGTGCCAAATGGTAAAATAACCCCTATTTAGGGGACACTTTTCCGTGAAACGAGGAGAATATATCATTTAACAATACGGCCAACTCCTACTGGAACAGGGACACTCTCAGTGTGCCAATTGGTAAAATAACCCCTATTTAGGGGACACTTTTCCGTGAAACGAGGAGAATATATCATTTAACAATACGACCAACCCCTACGGGAACAGGGACACTTTCTGAGTGTGCCAAATGGTAAAATAACCCCTATTTAGGGGACACTTTTTTTTCCATTGTATCACAACAACTACAGCAGTCTCAAAATAATTAATTTATATGAGTTTAAACTGAACTCGCATTGTACTGTCAAGGTCTTGTATTTAAACAATCGTAACATTTAGCGACTTGTTATGAACATCTAAATGATTACATTTATATTATTTTAATTAGTAATTCGTAATTAATAACAAATATTTAATGATCAACTTTTTCCAGAATAATGACTTCACTGATACAGAATATTTGGCTTGTAATGGTGGAACTCAATGCTGTAGATCTGGGGGCGGAATCAATGGGGTAAGCTAAATACAAGATAATGATTTGGAACCATCTCTTGGCCAGGGATTTTGGAACAACCCTTGGCCAGTGATTTTGGAACAATCTCTTGGCCAGAGATTTTGGAACAGATCTTGCTTTAAATAAGCGGTCTGAAGACATGGCTTGAGAAAACTAAAATTCTCTATAGCCATGTGGCTACTAGAGTTATTGGTAAGAAAAGGATGTGTATTGCAATAACAATTAGTAAAATACTGCCTCACACCATTTATAATGCTAGTTGATGGATTTTTTTCAGATATCCAAAACGCTTTTTCAGCCTTCAAAGTTCACCGCATATGATCCGAGCACTGAAATCATTTTCCCTCCTGAGCTTATTTTGGTAAAAAATAAATTCTAAATATATGCATTGCTCGATTATTATTCATTTATACCATTATCGTTGGTTTATGTAACATTATGTTCATTACAATAGAATAATAGGTTTGAAGTAAGGCAACTGTTGATTAAAAATCTATCAGATATTTTTACTTAGATGTTAGAAAATGAAAAACCAAAGCTTTTAAGATTTACTGGTGAAGACGTCACTTGGCTGAGACCTACCAATCTTCACCAACTCTTCGATATCAGAAAACAGTTTCCAAATTCAAAACTGGTTTCGGGAAATACGGAATTGGGTAAGAGTAATTATATATGAAGTAATAGAAATGTTTATATTAAGCCCTAATTGTTATTGTTCACAATTATAATTCAAATCTGATTTTTCTATGTATAGGGGTCGACGTGAATCTGAAGAAAGTGAGATATCCCATATTAGTTTCACTTACCCACATTACTGAGTTGAACACAGTTGAATCATGCGATGTTGGTGTAAAAATTGGAGCATCAGTTACACTATCAAGAATTGAGGAATTTTTGAGTAACGCAATTAAAAAGATTCCAGGTAAGTTTCGGGTAAAATCGGTGATTTGTACATATCACACCGTACGGTGTGGTGTATGCGTCACACTGATTTCAACAAAATCGCCTCACGCTATCGCCGGCAGCTTTTATCGGCGCAGATTGGTTGATCGAATCGTTGAGCCTTCTCGATTGCATCGGGGACAGCTTCGCAGTGTCATGACTGCATTGAGAATATTATAGCAACAATTAATGTATGTATAATGGGAAGTGGACGTGTTTATTTTTTTGTTAAAACAGACGTTTTCACATGTATCGAAGTGACTTTTATTTTACAGATCACAAATGTAAATCGCTGTTCGCAATTGTTGATATGCTTCATTGGTTTGCCGGTCAGCAAATACGAAACGTGGCCGTAAGTAACCTATAAGAAAAAGCAATAATTTTGAAATTGGGCGCTATCGCATTAATGTGAATTTTATGTTAAAGAACTTCTTCATTGGTTTGCAATTATACACTAAAATGCGTTGGCAGTTGCATAAAGTGCTGGTCAAGCCTATGTATTCAACGACCAGGTCCGCATCAGAGTATTAATAGATCTCAATTCACAGTATACAACATATAGCGTTTTTGAATGATATAATATCGTAAATCACATAATGAAAAAAATAATCTACTAATTTTGTATACTGAATATACGACTAACTTTCACCGTTTAACTTTCACCGTTTTTTCTGAAAACATTCTTCCAGTCAATTGGTGGAAATATAATTACCGGAAGTCCTATTTCTGATTTGAACCCAATATTTATGGCGTCTGGATGCACTCTTGAGGTTGTCGATACAGAAGGTAATGTAAATCACGTTTCCAGACATTAAGAAAGGAAGGGCGACTGCAGTGGCTGATTCAAGGGGGTGAGGGCCAGCCGGCCCGGGTCCCCCTAAATGTTTCAAAATTTAAAAAATTTGAGAAATTATGAAAAATTCCACTAAAATTTGAGTCTTAGCGTGCCATTTCCGACCTATAGAGGTGCCATAATCATAACTTTTCTTCCTAATCCCCGACCATGGTGGGGCTGAGGTAGTATAGACCTTCCATTTGTGAAAGTCTCTTTCTGGGCCTCCTCTATTTCAAATTCCTGGATCCGCCACTGGACTGATTTCAAAATTGTCTTTTAAAATGATATGTTGACTCTTACTTGCAAGAATTCTGGTTACAGTAAATTGTTACTGAAATCAAAAGGAAGGGCTGGAGGAATATATTTTAGTAAATAAAAAAAGAAGAATAATTTTTAGCAAAAAAAAAAAGAATAATAATCAGGAGGAAGTTTGATACTAGGCCTACTGAAAGCACACCCGTGAATCTCATGGTGCATGGTGTGAAACAGAAACATCATTGCAGTTGCATGACGTCATTTAAATAAATAACTGTCGTGTTTTTACCATTCAGGTGTTCGGCGTTTAATTCCAATTGTAAATAAATTCTTTACTGGTTATCGGACAAATTCGATGAAGCCCAATGAGATTCTCATATCAGTCACTGTTCCATACACAAATAAGGTAACATTGGGTTTTATATTTATATATATTTTAATAATTACAAATTATCAGGCGTAAAAAGTAAATAATTCCAATTGAAAGCTGCGTGTCTAAAATGTGTAGTTCATAGACCCGCTTGATAAAGTCGCATGGAATGATACTTTCCTGTTTGTATTTACTGGCTAATACTAGTCAACTTCGAAGCTAAAGTCTTGTGCAAGCTACGGCAATTTGTAATATTATTATTATTATTCACTGAGGGCATTTTCTTTAACATGATCTGCATAATATAACATCACTATCTCAAGTCGGAGCATTTCAAAGCATTTAAACAAGCCCATCGCCGTGATGACGACATCGCTATAGTGAATGCTGCCTTCAGGGTGGACTTACAAGATGAAGTCATCCAGAGCTGTTCAATGGTATTTGGTGGAATGGCGCCCACAACAAAATTAGCAAAGGAAACGATGAGCAAGATTATTGGAAGGTAACTATAAACTCATAAGGGTATATGGAAGACACAACACAATTTTGAACAATAAGTAACCTATTTGGCTAACTAAAATAATGTTTGTTGTCTCATTTATTTTTGCCACCTTTTTCATAAAATGAAGTTTTTAATCATTCAAAATTGTTTCTCCTGTTTATTAATCTCTGTTTCGTTTTTGACCCAATTTTTCTTTTTAGGTTTGTTTTAGTGATTTGATGTATTTTATATTGTTTTGTCTTTGTATATGAAAGAAATAAATGAAGTGAAATACAGAATCCACAAGGAAATACAATTTTAACAACAGAAAAATTATGATATTAATTATTGGAAGATTTAATTTGTTTTAGTTTACAACTTTTGTATGTTATGAACTTAATTAATCAACCTTCCCTGTTCTCTGTTCTTTTTAAGGACGTGGGATCAATCATTACTTGAAGATACAACCATACTCCTTGCCGACGAGATGTCCCTTCCACCTGACGCACCCGGAGGAATGGTGGAGTACAGACAGTCCCTCGTACTCAGTTTCTTTTTCAAGTTTTACCTGACTGTGAGACAACACTGCTCATTTTCCGAGGTATTGACACAAGTTACGTAACTAAAGGATTACTAGAATAATTCTTGAATAGTTATATATTTAGCTCTAATATAATAATAATAATAATAATAATAATGATAATGATGATGATGATAATAATGATGATGATGATGATGATGATGATGATGATGATGATGGTGATGATGATGATGGTGATGATGAGGATGATGATGATGGTGATGATGATGGTGATGGTGATGGTGATGGTGATGGTGATGTTGTTGTTGTTGTTGTTGTTGTTATATTGTTATTGTTGTTGTTGTTATTATTAGTAAGGATTCGTAGTTTTTCACCAAAATGGCCAGGGTTTGATTCCCGGCATGAGATATTTCTATTCTATGTTTAAGCTTCATTTTGAAGATCAATAGGTTTATGATATTTATTTAAATTGTTGGAACATACTGTAGGGACATCTAATTTATAATGCTCACAAAAAAATCAGTTAACAAATAATATGATTAGAAATTTTGATTTATATTTAATACAACTGTACGTAGGCCTCTACATGATATCTGTCTCTTATACACATCTAGATGTGTATAAGAGACAGACCATACTCCTTGCCGACGAGATGTCCCTTCCACCTGACGCACCCGGAGGAATGGTGGAGTACAGACAGTCCCTCGTACTCAGTTTCTTTTTCAAGTTTTACCTGACTGTGAGACAACACTGCTCATTTTCCGAGGTATTGACACAAGTTACGTAACTAAAGAATTACTAGAATAATTCTTGAATAGTTATATATTTAGCTCTAATATAATAATAATAATAATAATAATAATAATAATAATAATAATAATAATAATATTAATAATAATAATGAAAACTTTCAAAGCGCCGGTATCCCTTTAAAGAAAAAGCTCATGGCGTCCCTCCACAAGAAGTCAAAAATTGAAAGACAAAAGAACAATGAAGATTAATAACCGTACTTGGGTCAGCGTCACTCTCTCTATGTAGCCAATATTTGGGCTCAGTAATGACAGGGCCAAATATAGGGCAAGAATGTTCATCTTTTTAAACAAAACTGTCATATTGTCCACATTTACAGAATAAATGTATCAATATACAATCAGTAGATATGTCAGCAACACTTCCCTTCAAAAGAGCCGATAAACGGAGCACTCAGATGTTTCAGGTGAGCAAACAATGTTTCGATCTGCTTCTATTGAATTGGTCATTTTGAAAGAGAACTAAATAACTTGATGAAACACTGATAGATCAGTTTTTACTACAAAAATCCTTAATAAGGAATATAGAAACTGTTATATTTATGACATTTTGACAAGGATAGTACTTTAAAAAAAAAATTCAATAGAAAGTTAATTCCTTACTAAGTTTGCTAATAACAGTATTTATGTTATTAATCTCTAACAGGAGATCCCTGATAATCAATCCTCTGTTGATCCTGTTGGCCGCCCAATGGTTCATTCGTCGGCCTACCAGCAGGCTACTGGAGAAGCTGTCTACATCGATGATATAGTTCCATTTCAAGGTAAGATCCTATACTGTCGAGCACTGTACTGGTGTCGTTCGTATCTTGATAAACGCCCCAGCCTGTTTGTGTTAGTAATGTGGTGCAAGCCTTTTGTTTTTTATTTTTTAGTACATCAGAGTTCAATTCTTTGCCCACGGAGGTTCACAGTTTATATACCCAATTCTAGATATTGTCCTGAAACATGGACTACCTTATCATGTGTATGCCGATGACACACATATTTACGTTTCTTTTAAGCCAGTACAGGAACAACTTCATATTGCTATGGAGTCTATCGAAAGATGTATTGCAGACTTGAAACTCTGGTTGAGTTTATTATAATGGGGTCATACAAGCAGTTGCTAAAATGTCAGTCTTTATCTGTTAGTGTTGCTGATTGTGCCATTTAACCAGTACAACATGTTCGCAATCTGGGTGTAATTCTTTAAAGTACTGGTAATGAAAAATGATGTTGCTGGTGTCATTGCTACTTCATCATTATTACTTAGGAATATCTGGAGGTATTTTTACAAATCGGCTATGGAGAAGAATATCATGACTTTGTTACATCTTGCTTAAATATGGGCAATTCTCTCCTTTTAGAAATATCAAAATCACTCATTCATCACCTTCAAATTATACAGGATACAGCTGCCCGATTCTTGACTGGCACACAGAAATATAAACAAATCACAATCTGTACTTCAGCAACTTCATTGGCTTCCGATTTCAAAAAGAATTACTTTTTTAAATGTTATTGATTGTATTTAAAATATTAAATGGTTTTGGTCCCAGTTATCTCAGTGACCTCTATGTAGTGAAAACACACTCACGCAGTCTTCGCTCCAGCAGCAATTTACTGCTTTCCAACCCACGTTCTTTCAATTCTAGGGGTAATCTTATGTATTATTATTATTATTATTATTATTATTATTATTATTATTATTATTATTATTATTATTATTATTATTATTATTATTATTATTATTATTGTTGTTGTTGTTGTTGTTGTTGTTGTTGTTGTTGTTGTTGCTGTTGCTGCTGCTGCTGCTGCTGTTGCTGTTGCTGTTGCTGTTGCTATTGCTATTGCTGGTGTTATTGCTATTGCTATTGCCGGTGTTATTGCTATTGCTGGTGTTATTGCTATTGCTATTGCTGGTGTTATTGCTATTGCTATTGCTGGTGTTATTGCTATTGCTATTGCTGGTGTTATTGCTATTGCTATTGCTGGTGTTATTGCTATTGCTATTGCTGGTGTTATTGCTATTGATATTGCTGGTGTTATTGCTATTGATATTGCTGGTGTTATTGCTATTGCTATTGCTGGTGTTATTGCTATTGCTATTGCTGGTGTTATTGCTATTGCTGGTGTTATTGTTATTGTTATTGCTGGTGTTATTGTTATTGTTATTGCTGGTGTTATTGTCATTGTTATTGCTGGTGTTATTGTTATTGCTGGTGTTATTGTTATTGCTGGTGTTATTGTTATTGCTGGTGTTATTGTTATTGCTGGTGTTATTGCTGGTGTTATTGCTGGTGTTATTGTTACTGTTATTGTTACTGTTATTGTTATTGCTGGTGTTATTGTTGTTATTGTTACTGTTATCGTTATTATTACAGGTATTATCAATTATAGGCCAACATCTTGTAAAAAATTGGAGGCTCTACGGCCTTGCTGACATACATTAAATACAGGATAAAACAGCATTGCTACAGTAAATATTTACAATATACCGCACAGATATAATGCCTATGATATTACAATTTACAAGTATTTTTTTACAGATGAACTCTACATGGCCATTGTATTCAGCCAGAAAGCACATGCAATAATTAAGTAAGTGCTGATTTTACGTGGTCTAATGGTAAGGATTCGTAGTTTTTCACCAACATGGCCAGGGTTTGATTCCCGGCATGAGATATTTCTATTCTATGTTTAAGCTTCATTTTGAAGATCAATAGGTTTATGATATTTATTTAAATTGTTGGAACATACTGTAGGGACATCTAATTTATAATGCTCACAAAAAAAAATCAGTTAACAAATAATATGATTAGAAATTTTGATTTATATTTAATACAACTGTACGTAGGCCTCTACATGATATTGTTAACCGTTGATTTCGTTAATCTGAGTTGAAATAATTTTGAAACGTTATATACATAATTTCATCTTCCACTTCGGCGTTCGCATGACGTGATACAAGATTTAATCCTTAATACCGGTTTATGCAGCGATGACTTAATGCAGATTATTTTGGTTTGGTTGCTGGACGTTATATATATGCTATTATTTTTCAAATTGCCTGCTAGGTGTGTTGACGCTACAGCAGCGTTGCGCATGCCTGGGGTCTATGCGTTTATCGACCACAATGACGTCACAGGAAGTAACTTTTTTGGTGAACTTGGACAGGGTGAGGAACTCTTCGCTACAGTAAAGGTATCAACATGTTTTCTATAAAAAAAAAAAATGTTATTGTCAGATCCACCATAATATATGATACTACACAGTTAAATAAAAAATTATACTTACGTTATAGGCCTATTAAAAAAATAAATCACAAATTATTATATAAAATTCAATTATAAGCTCATCCCGCCGCCTTTGCCAGTATTTATGAATTAATTCTTCACAAAATCCATTCCTCTGTAGGTAACTTGTGTCGGCCAATACATCGGAGGAATCGTAGCAGACAACAAGGAGATAGCGCAACGAGCAGCCAGAATGGTTCGTGTGGAATATCAAGAATTAGAACCAATCATCTCCATTGAAGTAAGTACCAAATCTTATATAGAGAGTGAATTATCGCAGAGGTAACAAGTTAATCAGAGATTGCAAACCCTCGCCCTGTTGCGCCATATCTATCAGTTTTAGACTCAGTTTTAAACAGACAATTACACACACACACACGCATACACAGACGGGCACAATTGCAATACCCTTCACCTCTCCTTAAGGGTAATTAAGAGATTGGACTGTGGTGCGACGCGGACATTATATAGATTATTAATATAGATAAAGCATAAAGGAATGTTTTATACGTAGCTTTCCTGTTTTAATAAAATCTTAATTTCCAATCTAGTGGTTGGCATAGCGACAATGAGCTTAAAATTAGACGTAACAAATGCTAACGCAACGTGTGTTGCGTAAACCCTTTCAACGCATTATTAAAATGTTTGAGCCAGTTCACAGCCTTACAATGTCCGTGTTATTTTATCATAACGCAGAAATATTAGTATAATTAATGATATTATTCATATAATTTATAAGATCGAAAAATGCTTGCATTTTTCTGCAAAATTTTCAATGAATGATCAATGATTGACCTTCGTAAAAGGAAAAATATTATAATGGTTAAACAAGGTGATAGCAATGTCAACATATTATAATTTGAAGGGAAAATATTTCAAAAGTATAAGTGTTGTATATAGAAAGTAGAGTGTAAGATTAAATAACGAATAACTTGAAAAAAACAGTCATAAACAAAATTATGAATTTAAATAATATCTTTAATTAAAATTAAAGGAAAAGTAAGAAAATAGAACGAAAGTGTAGCAATTGTACGCTATATGACTTATGTGCATAAATTTCAAATGAATGCAAAATGTTTCTAAAAAATACGGTATATGTTAAAGATATTTAAAAAAAAACTCTATTATTGATAATAATGAAATACTGTACAAATTGTACTTTATATCCTGAATATAAAAATAAAAGTGGGACGACCTCACAAAAGAGAAAAAAAAACTACGATAGTTTTATTTTGCAACTTGCAGGATGCCATTGCAAAAGGAAGTTATTTACAGCCAATCAGAACACTGAGAAATGGCAACGTGTCGGATGGGTATAATAACTCAGACCAAATTATTAAAGGCGAAATAAAACTTGGAGAACAGGAGCATTTTTACTTAGAAACACAAACTGGATTAGCTCTACCAAAAAGAGAAGACAACGTCATGGAAATTTTGTCCTCATGTCAAGATCAAAGATTTATGCAGGTTCAGTATCTATAATGTTTAGAGTATTGCACATTTGTTAGTACATCACGGCATGCCCATTTTATTTTTAAACTGCATACCATATAAAATCTTATTCAAAGCTAGATTGAACGTACAATAAACTATAATCATAATTATAGTTAAGGGCATCAGCCACAGCTAAAAGGCTATCCAATCTATTAAATATTGATATTCCTTACTCATTGTGGGCATGAGAATCTCAGTCAAAATATCATCACTGATGGTCGTTAAGTCACTCCATACCATGTGTCCGCTATATACCACTGGCTGCTTGCTTGGTTCGCCGCACCCATACGCGCATGACGCGCTCTTCGTCATCTGTGCAATTCACCACTCCCCTTTGCAAGAAGCGAATTGGTGATACATCGTTTCCAGTTGTTGCATCTAGGTTGTGGAATCAATTGCCTGAGACTATGATAGGTTGCACATCATACATTTTATCGTACCCTTAAAACGCATCTGTTTATACAATTTTCAATGTTTGGCTCTGTATTATTCTTTTCTAATGGTTTGCATTATTTTCTGAGAGCCGTTGTCTCGGTCACTGTCTCTGCGCACCAGTCGTCTGGCAGGGCAAAGTGTTTCCTGTTCCTTTAGGTAAAGGTATGAATGACCTGAATTATAAGCAGATTTGAGGTTCCTTGTGCATGATACAAGTGCTTTGTAACCGTGAGGAAAATCAGCTATATATATATTATTATTATTATTATTATTGTTGTTGTTGTTGTTGTTGTTGTTGTTGTTGTTGTTATTGTTATTGTTGTTATATTATTATTATTGTTATTATTATTATTATTAGTATTATTATTATTTAAAGAAATAATTCAAGTGCTATATGTTTGTAAACATAGGCAAGAGTTGCAAATGTTCTGGGTGTACAGTTTCACAAGATCACGGTTCGAGTGAAAAGACTCGGAGGCGGCTTTGGCGGGAAAGAAACACGTTGTTGGCATCTTTCTGCTGCTCTTGCAGTCGCAGCCAAAAGGTATAAGTTCTTCCAGCTCTTTAGAGTGTAGGTCTATACACTAGTCACAGTGTACTCAATGGAGTGTAATGGTTTTTCGGCCTATGTCGAGTGTTTATTTTCAGATATTCCTGTATGTCACTTTAAAATAACAACCGATGAAGGAACGTTTGGAGTGATATTCTGAGTTTTTTTTTTAGTGAGCATGATTCAATTCCTATACCTTTGATGCATTCAGCCGCTGTCCTGTCATTACATAAACGATATAGCTAATTACAACATCTATAGAGGTTTTTAGAAGTTTACCAGTAGTGAAATTTGGAATGAAGTCATCCGAACCATTAGTACATAGCTTCACCACAACTAGGTTAAGTTGATGAGAAGTAAATAAATAAGGTTTAAGAAGTAAATTTGAATAGGTAAAATGCCACTATGGAAATGAGCTTTGTTGTGTTAGTTAAAATGAAAGCGATTTATTGGCGGTTGACGTAAGTGATTTTAGATGAAAAAATGGTGCGTAAAATTAAATGTCATCTTGGAGAGGTTCGTTAGCTAATGAGACGCAAGACATGTGAGGCAGTGGTTCGGATATTAACTGCCTTAAAAGGATTTCTATATATTATACATTTGTCCATAAATAATTTTATTTGATTCTTGTTGTTGCAATGTTGGTACAGGTGTTACTCTGTTAGTGCTGCAGTAGCAAACGTCGTTATAGTAGAGTAGATATAGTTCAAAAAAGGGCATAACCCCCAAAAAATTGCAACAAAAGGCTTTTCAACAGATTTTGGTAGTATTAGATGTGCTAAATAACATACAAAAAGTCTTACAAAATCCGACCACCGGAAAGTGTTTTTTTTTTCAAGATGGCCGCCAAAATGACGCCAATATCATAAAACAGCTACAAATTGTATTGTAATTGCGGATTTTATCATCAATATCAGGCTTTATGAGTCAATAAGTCATTTGAGACAATTATTTTTAATATGATGAGCAATATGAATAAATTCAAAATGGCATGCAAAATGCCATTTATCATTTAACATTTTCGCTATTTTACCTTATGTCAACAAGTCTTTGGAATAACCTGCTTTAAGAAGCTTTCTGATTGGCTAATTTGTCGTACGTCAATATATTTGACATTAGCAATTTTAGAAAAGTAACACTCAACATGGTAAACATGAATAAACAGGCATCAATAAATAAATTAATTTGAAGTGTCTTTTCATAATCTCTTGGTGAATGAATCTGTTGCGCCCAAGCACTAAAAATAATATATTTTTGAAAGAAGTTCTCTGATTGGCATGGTTGGAAGTTAAACTATCTTGAGTATATTTCTCGTACGATTAAAATCGTAACGGTACTAGTTTGGTCTACAGGAGCTCGTGCTTTGTACAGGTCATTCCACTTAGAAAAGCCTACCTGTCGTTAGCCATAGTAGCCTAGGTCAATACTAACTCCGGCTATAAAAATTGATTATAAGATTGAAAAGTATTCACCTTATTATTGTAGTAGTGACACCATGTCCACATTTTAATTATTGTTATTTATTCATTAAGGTTATTATATATATTATTTATATTTAAATTTAATGTATTGTTTAAGTATAAATTATTACGTCCATGTTAAATTAATCTTATCTATTAAAATAGTTTTAAATAATATAGTAATAGTCATAGCCGAGGCCTAGCCTAGGCCTAAACCTAGTGACTATGTGTGTAGCAAATAAAATTATAAATAAAAAGTATAAATAAGCGCAAATTGTGAAATAATAAGGAAGAAGGAAGAATAGGAAAGAGATTTTGGAGCGGGAATATACAAAAGTAGTCAATATGCCAATATTGCATTACGGTATGTTTTTGTAAACATTTTTGGGACCTAATTGTCAGAGGTCTCGGTGCCACGGCCTACACTTTTCATAATTCAACATCGATGTCCAATATATGAAACATGTAGGCTGCCGGCACCTTGACCTCTGACGATTAGTCCCAACAAATTTTCGAAAAAAAATGTGATGCAAGAATGACAAAATGATTATTATTATTGTTAATTTTCGGTAAATATTTCAGCTGCTCCAAATTTCTTTCCTATTCTTTCTTCCTATGCTTCTTCTGTTTTTTAATAAAATAAATTTAATATACTAATACATATTTACGCATAATATTTATATAAATATATAAATAAGTATATCATTTCCATACATATTTACATATTTTAACTGGATTCTAGAACTAGGACTTTGTATACATTGTGTCTGTAATTAACATAATTCAACCATATTGTTTCATCATATTGCTTTATTTAAATATTATCAAATATTTTTAATCTTTAACGATTACATTATTTCATATAATATTTTCAAATAAATGTCGAAACACTTTTAATGTTTTTTTTAATTAATTAAATATAAACTCTGAAAGTAAATTTACGTAGATTAGATCAATAACAATGGACATAGTAGTAATCCTTATATATTCATAAACAAGAATAACTTTTTCAATCTTCTAATCAATTTTATACAGCCGGATTTAGTTTCGACCTAGGCACACTCAATACTACCAACATCCTTTGAAAAACCTTTTGTTGCAATTTTTTGGAGGTTAAACCTTATTTCTACTGTACTATTACTTAGTTTTAAATAAACTTATGCTATTGTCTTCTAGAGTTGGGCGACCAGTGCGATGTATGCTTGACCGCGGTGAGGACATGTCGAGTACGGGAACCAGACATGCTTTTCTGGGACGTTATAAGGTTGGCTTTACTAATGAGGGCAAGATACAAGCATTGGAGATTGATCTGTACAGCAATAGCGGAAATTCTCAGGATTCATCAATTTCAGTAAATTATAGCCTTAATTCTTGCTTCAAGAGATAATACTGATTTAAATAGAATTGGTTGTTGGTTTAACCAACACACGTATATTTAAAAAAAATTAAGTTGTCTAAAAATATCATAAAATAAAATAACATTTACAAATATAGGCACTCAACGGGAACGAGAGTCTTACATTGGGAATCCTAAATGCTAGCATAAACTCTAAAACTTCAGTAAGAAAACGTTGGGACACAAACATAAAACAGAGACATCTTAAAATGAACTGAACGTAACATTGTAATACCTAACAATTTTTTTTTGTTTTTTTTTGTTTTTTTCGCTCATACGTATGCATTTAAGGTGTATGCATACAAAATAGTAAAAATATTCAGACGTTAAATAATGACTTTGCTTGGGCGGTTAGGTACAACAAAAATAGACTCAACAACAATCTTTTATGGATCTTCAGGAAGGAAGAAAACAGAGAATCTATGGCTGTTAGGTCAGGTTGGAAAATGTTGCAAGGCTTATTTTAGAAAAAATTAATGCTATTGACTCGATGTGTGCTCATGATGTCACATTAAGTAATAGGCTTACTTTTACGTAAGCCACACGTAGCGTTCTGTACATAGATTGCATCTATTAGGACTTATAATACAGTATTGTTTATTTTTTTCTTAAGGTAATGGAATGTGCAATGCTTCGTATGCAAAACGCTTATTACATCCCTAATGTAACAGTTAGAGGGTACTGTTGCAAGACCAACATCCCTTCGAATACAGCATTTAGAGGATTTGGAACTCCTCAGGCGCTGATGATGACAGAGAACTGGATCTCCGACATTGCGTTGGCGTGTGGCATTTCACAGAGAAAGGTGCTGAAACGAAGATTAGTTATCACAATCATATTATAACACGCCACATTCGTCAAAATTACTTTTAAGCTTCTATAACAGATTTGACGATTCTTCTTCATAGTCGTTTGATTAAAACATCGGCAATTCTTTGGCTAATTTTTGTATCAAACTATTCCCCTCTCTAAACTTTTCCAATCGCTCTGTTGTGTCATGTTTCTTTAAATGCAAGACATGTTAACTTTGGAACTAAATGAATTTATCTAACGCTACAATTTATTGTGTTTAACATAATTACACCGTAGACCTATGTTTTTCATCAAACCAGATGTAACATTTCAACATTATTATATTTACTTTTCTAATAATTTATTTTCTGGTACTGGCAGAACCAATGATGGATATTTTACCACCCTAATGTAGGACATTGAAAATGATTTAAAAAAAATGAATTGATATATTTTCAAGTATTGTAGGTCTATTACCAAGTACGTTATTATTAAAAGGTGCGAGAGATTAATATGCTTCAAGATGGCGAATCGACATACTGCAATCAGAAAGTGCAGGACCTGTACCTAATAAAAAGATGCTGGAACGAATGCTTAAATAAAAGTGATTATGAAATGAGACAGTTACAAGTAAATGAGTTCAACAGGTTTGTGTATTTCTAGGTCTACAGTTATAGTCAAAATGTTAAGTTAGGTGATTATGATAGCGCATGCATTAATTTTTATGGGCTTATCTAAATTGAAACCATATAAAATATTATGAGAAGTAATCTAGGCAAAGAGACACATTTACTAATAAGGGAACAAATAATTTTAGGTCTAACACCATGATGCTGATAATCAAATCTAGTACTGTGCAGCAATGATTATTATGTTTATTAGAAGTATTAATATTAAGCGCCTCGAGGTTGTGACAACGTGAGGCGCTATATAGATCCACAGTTATGAATTATTACTGTTAATCATTAATATTATTATTGTATAAAGACATTTTAATATTGTATAGATCAAACAGATGGAAGAAGCGAGGAATATCAATAATCCCACTCTCATATGGAGTCGGCTTTCATGCAAAATTTTTGAATCAGGTTGGTATAAACAGGGTTCCTTTGCCTACATATACTACTGTACTGTATTCTAGTAGTTATATTAATACGATTTCCATCCAGTCACGAGAATTCTATACTCGTCATATCCTAGCTACGAAATAAAATAAAACCATTTATAATTCTTTTGGCTTACATGAACACATCTAATGAACTTAATAGTTTTTAAAAAATACTTGAGTTTAGTCGGTGAGTGCGAATAACTCCGAATAAAGCATTAAGTTACGCAGGCGGTCGGACAATCCGAGGGTTGAAAAACAGATATTATGCTATTTACGGCATTTTTTTTTTTATTGAAGCCAGATATATATGAACTGTAGGTCCCACTTTGAATCTCGCATATCACCGGCCACTGCCAGTTACTTGCCTTCGGGCATAGGCTACTTTTTATTGTTTACCCTGACCTTCACCATGGTGAAAGGTGCCAAGGTCTGGATCCACGCCTAACTCTCCACGCCTTTTGTTCTCTAGGCAGGGGCATTAGTGATCATTTATACCGACGGAAGTGTTCTATTGACACATGGAGGTGTTGAGATGGGACAGGGGCTGCACACTAAGATGATCCAAGTTGCGAGCCGAACACTGGGAATTGCGTCAAACAGAATTTACACAAATGAGAATTCAACGAGCACAGTACCAAATACGTCGCAAACGGCAGCCAGTGTTGGCTCAGATCTGAACGGAATGGCAGTTAAGGTTAAATTGATTTTATGTTCTGAGTATATTACCATTAACTATCAACCCCCTCCCACCCTGTTCTCCATCAAGATAACGAACAAGGGCGGATTCGATAAGTGTGGGGGAAGGTTGGGGTGGGGATGTCAGTATATCTCACAATTATATGCTGCCATATTAGACACCAAATTATGTATTAATTTTCATTTTTCCCCCAAAAAAAGATTGCATGCGAGAAGTTATGTCGAAGACTTGAGCCCTACAGAAATCGAGAGCCAAGCAAAACATGGGATGACTGGGTGAGCTTGTAACATACTGCAGTACGAGTACATGATGTTTGAAAAATAGTTAAATCATGACACAAAAACAATTACAAGAAAATATAATATACAGTGTTTTAAGTAATCATTGCTGGAATTTATAGTAGACCTTATTGACGAATTTAACTATCAAATTAAAATAATTATGCTCTTCAATTTTTTGCATATTGTTCAATGAATTTCCAAAATAAATGTAAGCACTCTGATTTGTTTTTGTTCTATTTCGTAGGTTAAAGCAGCCTATTATGATAGAGTTAGTTTATCTGCCACGGGGTTCTACAAGTACGTAGTACAATTGTTTATTGTAAACTTACATATTGCACTATTAAGCGTTTCATTTCATTTCGTTTATTCGTCTCAAAAAACATTAAAACAGTACAAAACACATAAAATATACAAAGAGACAGGAAACCCAAAAAGTGAACTAAATCTACTCTCGAGTGGAATAACTAACATAAAAAGACGAAACTTTACAAAATACAATATAAATATATTAAAATGTTACATGCCAAAAACTCTAGTAATAAATGTATATATCCGCCTATTGATTGATTTTATTCAGTATCAGTAGATGCAAAAATAAAAAGTGAGCGATGACAAAGAAAACAAGGACATGATACTAAAAGGTAAAAAAACACCTTATTTCCGTCGGCCTTGGCCCATACCGGCAGCTAGGTAGAGCGGCCGCTGTCCAGAACGGCCGCCAATGTGTGTTTGTGTATGGAACGCCGGTGACGCACTCACAATTAATAATACAATACCGCTCTCTAAATACAAAGCTTTCATTCATTTCCTTCGGGGTTCGTTTAAACTGATGTTAACCCTATTCAGCGCTTTGGGTATGCACCTTTCATTAAAACATGCTTAAATCATGGAGGAAATATCCTCCATGCTTAAATACGGTACACAGTGGTGTACATTGTTACATTGGGTTTTCGGCAAGAGTTCACAATTGCCATTAATTACTACCACTAACAGGGCACGTCACATAAGTGGTGGTTTCAGTTAACGCGTGTTGTAAGGAACCGAAAGTCGTGAGTTCGAATCGCGCTTCGGTGTTTAAATTTTTTCTTTGTATAAATTATTATTATTTTTATTTGAGAGCTGGTTGACACAAAATCATCTGGAAGAGTTAATAAGATAGAAATTTTTAAATAATTAGAATGTTCATTGTACAAAATAATTTTTTTTTTAATTGAAAAAAAAAATGAATATCAAGAAACGATTCAAACTTGTGGTTCTTTAGAAGACATCCATAACCGACCGCGCCATCCATGCGACATGCCCTATTAGTGGTAATGGCAGTAATGTACAGTCTTTGCTGAACCCCTGCTTTGTTTTGTAGGTGTACGGGGAACCCTGGTGTCAAACTTTAAAAAGGGCCATGAACGTTTGTTGGAAATAACCTCTAGTTTATGTGTCCTGCACGTCCGTTCAAAACTGGTGACGATGGACGCTTTTAAAGTTTGGTAGCCAACAACAAGAACTACAAGAACAGCAGTGATGTACTGGAGTCCGTCTTGCACGGACCCCCAAAAAAAGAGAATATAAAACACAGGGGCAGTAAAAAAATCATCAAGATAAATAAAACAGCAAAGACGAATACAATTTAGTAAAACAGACGATAAAATACAATGCAATGAAGTGTAAAACGTCAATTAAAAAAAATCAAAACATTAAAAAGTTTGACAAGTTAAAATTTCGTAAGGCTTAAATAAATGATAAAAGTTGAAAATTTTAAATATTTAAATAAATGATAAAACCATAAAAAAAACAGCTTAAGCAAATACATGTTATTATTCATCACTACCGTTGTATTGTTAAATTGCATTATTTTGTTCCCGTACACGTTTTTTTTGTGTGTGTGTAGACCTATGTGTGTGTTTGTGCGTTTTTTTTCTGAATTTTTTGTGGGGTTTAACATTTTTTTTAACGTGGCATTCATTTTTTAGCACTGCCTCTTCCATTTAATCAAATATGTTTATTTCAACGTTCCTTGCCTTTTTATGATCTGGATTGTAAAATCTTGATTTTATTTTTGATCGATTGATTGATTGATGTACGAATATAGAGTTGAAATAATATTGTAGATGGATGAATATCTTGATGATTGCTTTCTTTGTAAAAGGACACCTGACATTGGCTATGAATGGGATACCAAGTCTGGTGAGCCATTCTATTACTTCTCGTTTGGTGCGGCCGTTTCTGAGGTTGAAATTGATTGTCTGACTGGTGATCACATGGTTTTGCGGACTGACATTGTCATGGATGTTGGAGACACTATCAACCCTGCCATTGATATTGGACAGGTGAGTGGAAGATCCAAGACATACAGAGAATAATAATATAAACATTAAATGAATATATTTAATATTTGTTTGTTTGATGACGTCGAAAATAGCATACAAATGTGTTTTACGGTCTGATCTGATGTCATGTCCTCTTACATTCAGAATTGTCGGCGAATAATAGAAATTGCTATTCTCTGTATCACACCAATCAAGTTTGGAATGCTTAGGATGTTTACATAATTACTTTCAACATGTATAATTATGAAACCAGGTTATAAATGAGCAACTCAGATTTTTAACTGATCAATTATTTATTGTAGATTGAGGGCGCTTTTATACAAGGTTATGGTTTATTCACTTTGGAAGAGCACCGCTGGAGTCCCACTGGCAATTTACTGACAAAAGGACCCGGATTTTATAAGTTACCTGGCTTCACAGATATTCCTGTTGAATTTAACGTCTCTCTTCTGGACGGGGTGCCAAATAAAAAAGTAGTTTGCTCATCTAAGGTATACAATTAATCTGCCTGTTTATATCAAATAAAAAAATATACAGTGTCCTCTATAGTCACCTAATCTAAATAAAACCTTTTATTATTAGTCAATCATACTATTCATAATCAATCGATTAATTAATCGGCCAATTATAGGGAGCCTGTAAACTATATATTATATTTATTTTTAAATTAAGTTGCGTTACAATTCAGTGTTCTTTGATGATTGCTGATTGATTTTGACTGACACCTCCAATGTTTCTTTACAGGCAATTGGTGAGCCACCTCTTTGCTTGGCTATCTCTGTTTTCTATGCCATCAAAGAAGCCATCTTTAGCTCCAGACGCGATTCCGGTATCGAAGGAAGTTTTCGATTGGACAGCCCGGCAACTGCTGAGCGAATCAGAATGGCCTGCGTGGATAAATTCACGGGAAAGGTGAGGGAATGGAACTTATAAATATGTTATTTGCAGATATTTTTGTAATATTGTTTTTGAATTCAAATAATAACGAATTGACTTGTTTTTATATCTTTTCAGTTTCCGTCTGCTACACCTGGGACATTCACTCCGTTCTTTATTCGCTCATAAGAAACGAAGAACTATAATACTGTATGGTGTGTATGGTCATGGCACAATAACTTGTATTGTATTTCGTAATATCTGAGTTTTTTTGCAATCACAATTTGATTGAATAGGTTAGAACCTATTGATCATATATTTTAAAGGGAGGCCTGTACGAAATTTGGTACAAACATAATCATGGAAAACAGACAGAAGAGAAATTATAACATTGCTTTTACATGTTGCAACGTCAAGTGAGAAGAAGAACTTAAAGAAATGCTATTAACAATAATGAGTAGGACATGGTGTTTGTCTTCGAAATGCAAACTCAAAATGTAAAAATGACTGAATTGAATTGCTACGTGAAAATTTATCTCATTGTCCAACAAAATTATTTAAACATAATCAAAAAATAAAAATACATAGGCCTATTTGAAAGTTAAGAAATATAATTATATTTCTCATTATTAGTTGATTATACATTATTGAAATACTGTAACCTTAGAAAATGGAGGAAAGAAGCTTCTTTGCTCCTTGCTTAAATCTAGGCCTGACAGGCGGTCGTGATTGATTATGAGCTGTATTCTTTGATAGTTTCTCATTTGTTCTTGCTAATATTATACTTTTGTAGTAGGCTTATCAGTTATGTAGTTTAATTTTTGTAGTAGATTTGTACATTAGACTTTACAAAAATACATGCTGTTACTATCCCATTTACCAGCAAACCCTTTAAAAGGGCATTCAGGCGGGTTGGTGAACCAGGTTTTGCCAGAATCTTATCTCAATAATCCAATTAAAAATTAAGAGTCATTATCACAGCATGCATTGCTGTTTCTCATTAAATTACCAGTATAGTATTTAAAAACCATCCTGGAGAATTTTAAAAACCTGTTGTTCAAAAAAATTTTGCATTTTTATTACCTTAGCTATAATTTCAGATAAAAATCATAATAGATATGCTTTTGAATTTTAAAAATCATGACTTATGTTAGAAGTTTGATTTAATTGTGCTAGTCTTCTTATGAACTATTCACAACTAATGAGCTTCACTGTTAATCTTGTTAGTTCCTATGCATGTAATGCAATTAAAAGAGATAAGAAGAGATCAGCAAAACCTGGTTCAAAAATTGAAAATTTGGTAAATGGTGAAGTTTCCTCATGAAAA